CCCCCCAACCCACTTAGCACCTACAAAAATTCCTAGTATTCTTCCAACGGCGTGTTGAAAGACACTCACAATATGTTCATCCTGTTTTTGAAAGTCTCCGAGGCGTACGACAAAGCAGGAGGGACAGCAGTTTCGAAAAAGTGATCGCGAAGTTGGTGTTTCTTGTCATCCTCATGCTCCCTCGATATTCTTAAAGGTACAGTTCTTGATAGTTTTGGGTAATCCAGATTATGACGAAAAATGGAGGATAATATGGAAAATAGTGCGATGAAGGCGACGAAACTGCGTGAATCGATGTTTCCGAAGTGAAAAAAGGCTACGAAACATCGTACAAAACGGGATTGGACGAGAACGAGACCAGAACTATGAATATGAATGGGGCGTTTGGTCGAGGAATACAATGTGTGTCATTGCTTACGTGTGCGTCCTGCTGCGATTAGCTGGCTACGGTAGGAAAAATTCATTCAATCATAAGCATAATTTAAAAAAGCCTACTTTCAGCAAAATAGCCTAGCCCACCTTTTCAAACTCTTTTGGTAGAAAGTCAAAATTGGGATCGCAACAGCGAAAAGAATTACAGAGAATCATGAATAGGAGGGAAACATCGCTTCATTAGACGGCGATCAGCTGATTGTGTGGTGGTTCTAAAACGGATATTGCAATCTGTATCGCCTCAACACTCGACTGACGTGACATCGGTCGAGGGGCGGAAAGTCCCAGCGATCTGCTTACAGAGCTCCCTTTATGCCCTAGCTGTTGAGTTTTGAGACTCGATAGCGTCCTTCCTGTCACCCTTGGGGGCCACTGGGTATTCCCAGGAAAAGAAATCAGAAACCATTTTTATCGTGAATTGTGCCTTCAAATGCTTCCCACGCCCAGCGTTCCCTTCTGCTCTAAGTGACGCATGATATTTTGAGAGCGCCACTGAAGTTTGGGTGAGGTGGTGTTGTCCTGCCGAATCCCTATTCTCACTGCGACAATGACTTCCTCATATGCAGAATCGTGAGATCGTAGTCGTGAAGTTGTCGTAGAGCTCACGAAGCGTCTCCTGATACATTCAGTAGGTGCACTCTATTGATCCGAGGCCTTCATGATCGTTTCTGTCTAAACAGTATCAAAAAACTTCAAATCGATGAGCGTCAGACCTACGGCATCTTGTATACTTCAATAAGTATTGTAACAGTGTGGTCTTGACCGATTGTGCTACCCCCTCCCCCCCCCCCCCCCCCCCCCCCTCGAAATTCTTTTAGCTTTCAGATTTTCCGAAATTCCTTTTTTAGAGAGGGTGAATGTGGTGTAGTGGCAAGTGGCGCACTAACACCATTGTCACGGGTTGAATCCCGGACGGATAACCGCCTACGCCAACCATGAATTCCATCCCCTCTGAGCCGGAATGAAATGGGTACTCTTTTGTGAGCTCAGATGCACTGACTTGTACCTCAGCCAGCCACCGCAAGTCACTGTATGAGTCACATACGCATTTTTGTAATGCACCGCGGGCCTCATTCCGCAGACGAGAGTGATTAGGTTTGGAACCTTTATCTTGACATTGTTCACTGATGATAACAACATGTTCAGAAGTTATCAGCTATGGCCCTGCTTGCGGATATAAATCACTGGTCGAGATCAGTGATTCTAAGATTAGTTGCGGTCATATAAATTCAGCTGATATCGGGACACCCTTCTAGGGCACTGAATTCAAACGCTCCTTATCATCGCACTTACCACCTTTCCCAACCTGCTCTACTATCCTTTCTCATCGCATGAAGCGTACTGAAGTTTCAAGGCTGCATCGCAAATACCAAAAGGTGATGAAGAAAGTGGTTCGTGATTGTTGAGATTTTTCCTGCAATATTTATAGGGAACCCGGCGACTCCCACCACTACACTGAGGTAACACATCTCCCTACCTCAAAAGAGGAGAGTGACTTAGTGACTTTTCATAGGTGGCAGTGTTTCTAATATCTGAATCTCAACGGCAAGCAATGAATTCACGGTATCTTTCCACTAAAACAATCCGAACCTTTCTCTTTACGGGAGGCGATCTGGGTGCGGTGAGCGTGGCACGTCGTTTGTATAATATAAAAGAACAGACGGGTCGTTAGGCTTACGCCGGGCCTTCATTCCTTACTTTTGCAAGGGAGTTAGAAAATGTAGTTAAGGGTGGGGGGNGGGGGGGGGGGGGGGGGGGGTAGGAGGGAAGATGGGCTTCGCTTTTATTCAACATTGAAGACTTTAGTGCAGAGAAGGACGAGTAGCCGACCTTGAAGCTAGGATGGGATATGTGTTGAATATTGAATTGGCTTTTGTGTATGATACCTGGAATGGTTACCTTAAATCCCCACAGCTGTTACCTGTGTATAACCACCGCCTCCTTTATATCCTCAAAATTCGTACGTTCCAGGTCTACGGTTACAGGTAGGGTATTCAAACACACGCACCAAAACACATACATACATACATACATACATACATACATACATACAGCTCGTTTACCACAACAAACCCCCAACAGTTTTAGGACCGGGGAACGTACAAAGGGGTAGATGGAGGTTCGAAAATGATTAATGTAAATGTTGGAAGAAGTCAGGGAGGAATTTAATGGAAGCTTTCACCGAATAGAAAGCACCCAGTGCAGAACTTGTAGCGTTGGCAAGAACGAAATTCCCTTCTTATGAGCAAGAGCACTACCGCATGACCCACTAGGGAAACTTGCTGCGAGCGAGTGAACTGCATAATTTAAATGAACTGTCATCATGCATACGGTGTCAAAAGTTGTTAATGCTACTCATTTGACAGCGTTGATCTGCAAATTAGGATAAGCATTCTAACATTATACCTAAGTCTGATAGAGGGTTGAAGCTCTCCTCTGACAGTGAATTACTGCCGTCAGACAACCTGCTTGGCTTTGCGAGATTCGGACACAGATTGTGAATACATAATTATGACATACTTCCAAGTTTATTTTTGAATGTTTTTGGCTTAATCTCAAAGTTTTAATTCACGGACGAAAGGATGAACGTAATTTTTCATGAAGAACTTGTAAGTTTAAGGGTCCCGTCTTCTATATAAATGTTGTTCACCATGTATGTGATTGCGGGAACGAATGATACTCCGCAAAAGACACCTGAAACCAGCTGACATTCAGTTAACTGATTCACTATGGTTGTACGATTGCGAACTCTGCATTACGGCGGTGAAGGCCTTTTCCACTCTTTTGAACCTTTTATATATAACCAGTCGGATCGCCATCTGTTAACGCTCAACTCGTTCTTCGAAACGAATGAGATTTTCCCGTACGCGATGTTTGGCACCCAGGACTAGCAGGGCCGTGCAAATGGATTTGGGCGTAATTCGGTACTTACGCCATCCGAATTTCCGATATTTTTTCTTTTCCTCAAAATTAAACACTCATTAAAAATTCAACTGTTAGGCAACCAAAGCCTTGGGCGGTACTCACAAATGATTCGAGTGATGATAACGCCATTATCTGATGTCGTTATCGATGGACCCTTTCTTTACGAAGATATGAGAATTAGTTGAGAATTCCAGATTACTGGCGGCCGGTTAAGCTTTTCAAATGTCATCAACCAAAAAGGATCCTTCATTGAATCGCAAACCTTGCTGGATAGCGGCCTAATCTGATAGCAAGGAATGCACAAAATTCTTATCTGCGTATCGTAGGCTGCCCCTATCACTCACATCTGTCACTCTACTCTACCATCTCGTCTTATTTGAATGAAAAACGTCAAGGAGTTAATGTTTGATTGTGAATACCAAAGCCGTTAAGATCCAGTTGGTATGTGACTCTTGCTCTGTAAGAAATTTTATCAACTCTTATCAATTGTTATCAGTTCCTGACACAAAGTACCTAAGACCGCGTCACATCCTATATCACTTTTTAAAATGCCAAGTTTTCACTGTTGACATTGTCACCAGTCCCGTCCCTTCCCCTACGTCCCACGCTGCCTACTCAAGTGCCCCACTGTTAATATGGAAGACGTCGTAGACTTGAAGGCTCCCGCCTTCTATGGCTCGCTATCAGTCTCTATCAGCTGTTATCGCTCTTTATCACCGAACACCTACGGTCCCTTCTTAATCCACATCCCTTACTTAAGTGCCAAGGCTTCACCTTTACACGAACCTGCGGCTCTCGCCTTCTGAGCCTCTTTCTCAGCTCCTTTCAATTGTTTAATTGTTATAACCCCTATCACTCATTATGTAAGGGCTCTCCTTCTGTGTATTACCCATTTTCTTGTTGAACTGCTGGTCATTTGGAATATGCAAGCATGTACCTGTAACTAGAATAGCTGCTGCCGCCATTCCTGCAGTTTTCGATAGAGAACTGTGGACAACTCTGAAATTTGGCAACATTCAGACTTGTACAGGAGGTTCATAAATTGCTAGTCACCTCGGAGCATACATCATAGCAAGCGAGCTAAAGTAGCCACTGGTAAACGCCATAATGGCGTTACCGATGATGAAGAACCATTGGTTTTCAAAAAGCACTGGCATCACGCGATCGTCGACGTTATAGTTGCAGAGCATAAAATATGGAATGAACAGTAGGCGTAGGAGCACAGGAAATAAAATATAGTTCGGTCCTGGCTGTAAAAAGGACTCTTTCAGCGCCAGCCGATGAGCCTTGATCACTCCTCGTAAGTGGTCGTGCTGATCTCCAAGGTTCGTGTGAGAATCAAGTGTAAACTCACAATCTGAACAAAGTTGGCAGTTGTTGAACCGATGGCTGCAAGAAGGTTGAAGTTAAGAAAAACTGTGAGGCCGAGATAGATGTCCTCTGTAATTATGAAATTAATTGCGGTTATTCTTCGCAATGGAGATTAACACACTAGGTATATCGCTGTTCCACGGTTCGCCTTTCCGGTTGGGTGTCGTTCCAGCCAGTACTGCAGGAAACACAGCAAGTGTGACAAAAAATACCAGAAACACGCTGAGTAGTTGCATCCAACACTAAAAGGCAGCTCTTTCTGTCAGATATACGTGAAAAGATATTTCGTGTAGCAGGTTTCCATATTCAAAAAAAAAAGTTGGACAATGTCTAGTTGGAATAACATACGCCTTTGAAAGTCTCGCAAAACTGTCGTAAGCTGGGCCGAGTGGCATGCTCCGCAATACGGGCTTGTTTACCTTTGTTGACATAATATTTGTAGAATTCCTTAGAATAATCACAACTGAATTGTATAATTTTGGACTCAGAAAAACTCCTGCTATTAACTTACTACTTGAGTCAAATAGAAAAGCGATAGTATGCAGACGACAAGGACAGCCAACGTAATTGAAAAGTATGTTAAGGCCACTGACTTGCTATCGGTTATGAAGGCTTAAAATTCAAAAAGGTTTTCATACATATTCAAATAATTTCACAGAGAGATCATTATCGGTTAGAACACACCTAAGTTCGTAGCAATAGAGAGAATGCTGATGAATGTGCCGCAAATATTGTTACCAACTACGATGGCATTTGTGTAAGCTGCAGGAAAATCGGCCGTCAAGCCGAACACTGAGTTCTGAAACATTCTCTCGGCGGAATAATCCTAATTTCATTGGAAAACGATTCCATTTTTGAGTAAATGAGGTGTTGTTGCATTCCGCGGAATTTCATGTGTTCACCCTTCCTACAAAGAAAAAACTCGGGAATCAAAAGGAACCCAGAAAACCGTTCAGATTTTCAGGTGTTAAGAAATGAGGAGATCTTAGAAAGGTTAAAATAGTGTGAGCATCTTGGCAGTACAAATCACCAAAATGGATATGACCTTTTGATATACATAGTGGGGGAGACTGGAGAAGGTCCAACTAATATCCTGCAGACGGGTCCGGAATCCTCTCCCCGAAGACGGCGTCGCGCACGCCGCACCCGCTGCGTATCGCAGGATTGCGATGGAAGATTGTAGCGCGCAATTTGTAAGGTAGGGAGTCCTTTAATTATTTGAATTGGCTGGCCACTCCGTTCAATTCCAATGCGGTATTGTTCGTCGCTAATATAGGAGGAGTCATTTTAACTGAACAAGTCTAATAAACATAAAAAACAAGAAAAAGAAAGATAAAAAACGATAAAAGACTAATAAAAGAGAAAGGCAACCAACGAAAAATATTGCGCCATATCGATTGGCGGGGTGCGGGGTGGGTACGGTAATTGCAGTGACATTTGCCGCCTGCCGCAAGGGAGAATGCCGCGATCGGGGAGAAGTTCCGTTACCTCCTGCAGACTTGTCCGATACCCGTGGGTGGTAAACCATCACCGTTTTCTCACCAAAATCCTAGTGAGTGAGGTAGGCTTAGTGCTGCTAAAATTCACTCACACTACGCAGCTTAGTTCCAGTTGCGAAGCGCTTAGATGAACTAAAATTTTGGGTCATTAGTGGTATCAGTTGTAAAACGACAGCGGAACTCGAACCTGATACAGGCCATTGGATCCATTCAGTATGACGACTATTGTCAACGTGACGTAGTAGAACCAAGTCATGGCTGAAAACAGTAACTCTTATAGTGGAATTGAGAGCAACATCTCTCGATTACAACCGTACCTTCTTCACTAGGATCCTGGAGAACCACCAAAGCAATGATGACTGCAACGTTGACACAATTGATGAAGAGCGTCCCACTAATTCGAAGCATAAGCGAGCCGCTGAACGATGATTCTTTGGAGCTCGGATACACGAATTTGACTCACTGCTTACGCTTAAGAAATGTACTACAAAGAATCGCGGCAACCGATTATTTGGGTCAGTCAGCTTCTGTCTCGACGTGGTGCAGGTACCACAAGCCTTGACCCTGTGTACATTGGTCCGAAGGTCGTGTTTGATCTTGGTCTTTCTGTTGTATTCATTCCCTATTGACAGCGTTTTATCAACTTTTCTTGTCTTCTTGTTTGTCGTCTTCTCTCGTTTCTCGGAAAAAGTGACCCGTTTGTTGACTTTGCTTTGTTTCAGTTCTTATAATTAAATATGATAAAACTTGTATCAGTCATTGGTTCCTCTCTTTCGAACTCTTCTCTGACAATGGTTTTGAGGAGCAGAATCCAGTTACAGATGGCTGATGGTTCACCGGGACCCGTAGAAAAATTTCTCAAAACTTCCACTCATCTCACTTATAACGAGACTTGAATTTTAGGAGCACCTTCGTGATATGAAATTAGGATTCAAGCGGCCTCAACACGCCGGTGTCGCTGTTGCGCATGCTGTTTTGCGTTCGCATTCTCGACTGATGGGAGGCCAAACTGCTCATCATACCAGTTCCGGAGAGTACAAAACACCTTACCCAACAATTTGTGCCAGGTTCAACATGCCCATGAGAAAGTTTGGAAGCTGAGAAGTAATTCCTAGAGCGTTCATGAAGCTTTTTGCATAGGTTGTCTTGTTTCCATCTTGCATCGTGAACCAGTAATCAACATAGTACTAAAATTGCCGAAATCTATGAATTTTGCGAAGGAAGCTGATCAAGGTTTGCTCAGTACCGTGACTGCGACATACTGCCACCTCACTTGGTAAAAATTTTAAAGAGGAAGTTGGAAGGTTCTAATCTTTTTGAGACTCACTTGGGGAGCAATAGTGATGAACATATTCCACGGAATTAACACACCAATGCCATGCAGCATAATTATCAGCCACACTATCCAACACTGAAGATAGTTGGTGGATGCAGGGCAGTCTTAGATACAATTCCTGACCTAGAGACCAGAAGTAGGTGATCGAGTACAGGTTTGCTAAGGCTCCAGTGCATGCCCGATTTGTGAAGAAATCTCTTTTGCCAGGTTTACAAGGAATTGTTGAAGGTTGGAGGTTTATTCTAGACCATCCTTGAGAAGTGCTTTATTATGTGTGGCTACGTGATGCGCGGCTCAGAGAACGTAAAGAAACAGACTCATCGTCAAGGCTTTCACAGCTTTGCCAGGGCCTGCTCAAACACTTTGATCACTGGTTCCCAGTATATTTGGGTGAAGATGGCAGTGATAAGTTCTTTTGCACAACAAAGTCCCTTGATAGCTGAGTGGGTTTGAAAGGCGTCTCTTAAGCTCGTTCAGATACTCAAAGAGGACAGTTTGCTCGAGAGGTCGTGTCCAAAATGAAGCAGTTCATAAGGAACATGCACGAAGTGGCAAATGTCTTTGTGACATCTATAGAATCAAGTTGGAAAACTGCCCTTGCAAAAAAAAACTCTGATCCAGCACCACACCCATTACGGTAGCGCACTTTACATCTTTTTGATTCTATTGCCGAAAATTTGACTTTTTTTCAAATTAATACATGCTAAGTTACTCACCTTGTCGTGAGGCGGCTCCCCGAATTCCGCTTCGTAGGCGTTATCAGCTGACCGGCTTGAACTCAGTTTCGACTCCATAATGCTTTTAGAGTCCCATCTTTCGTCTGCCTAAATCGCGATTTTTTCACTGCCGTGCAGTATGCAGCGAATTGGGATTCGATATGAATCCAGACCAGGAAGCCTAAGGCTGAATGGTTGCCTTGAGAATGGAGATCTCTGTGAACCACTCGCAAGCGAGGGGATCAGTCCAGATTGTGTCATGAATAATTTTCCAGAATGATGATTCTCCAACAACGCTTGTAGTTGCTCACCTTTTTCCTCTCCCAACGTTTACCGTTGCATTAAATTGTCTATTCTAGCCAGGTTCGCGTTAATATCATGTACCGGCCAAAAAAAATGAAATTTTCAATGTTAAGTGCCGCGACGTTGTTTAAGGAACCGGGAGAAGTGCACTTATGGGAGGGTCTGTCCTGGATAATGAGGACGAAAGGGAATGTTAGGATGGCAGAGCAACAACACAGCGACATCAACCCGGTGGCCGATCCTAATTCACCCAAATACGCTCTTCTTTTCAATTTGTGATCCTCTCCTTACTGTCGATTTCCAACGAACGAAACCGTAAGCCTTTCTCTCAGAGAACTGAGATTGGTTTTGTAAGAAGGGACAAAAAGGCTAAACAATTTTTATTTTTTCATGAGGTAGGGGATAGGATTGCATGAAGCCTTAATTAGTTTGAAGCGATTGAACTCGAAGGGACGATAAGTTGAGACCCATCGTTTGATGTAGAATTGTGGGCTGATGACTCAGAACGGCTTCTCTATTTGTGTCTTGACAGCTGGGAACTCCATTATCACTACTTTGCCGCCAACTCTTGCCTACTTACAACAAGGTGCTGAGGCCTTGACACCTTCCCCATTCTCCTGTCTTCAGGGATGCGTGCCCGTTTAGGTGTCGTCAGAGTTTGAATCGATGTTTATCAAGTTGTTCTACTCAATGAAATCTTCTCCCACACTTTACACCCCTGCGTTCAATAGGGATATTCCTTCTCGAACTCTTTTCTTACAATTAGACTGCTTGAAGGGTTGCAATCATAAATGGTAAAAGCGGTCACCCACCTCAGGCGTTATCTCGGGGGACTCCTTTGGAATGGCAGTAGTCAGACGTTGATCTGCCGCATCTCTTGCCGATCCTGGGTGGGATAGCAGAGACTCAGTCGACGTAGGGTAACTTTGGTTTTTCCGCATGAGAACTTCTGTTTGAGGTCGTGGGGATCCCGGCCTGGATTTCAGGGAGGATGAGCTGGAACGACTTCTATCCTCCTTTACTGGAATAGAAGGACAATGTGCACAACTCGGCTCTACATTCTGAGGGCGAGGTGATCCTGGACGACTTTCGTCTGACTTCATTTGATCGTCCGATTGACCTTGTTGGTTGAACTCCAATTCCAATTTGTGGGAGCTGATGGTGTCAGGCTCATCGCTGCCTTGCTGTAACTGAGAACTTGGAACGGCACTCTCCTAGGATTTGAGCGTAAGCTGCATACCTGAGGATCACCTTTCATTGTGCATCAAAATTCGGGAATGAGTTGCCGTCCATCACNCTCGGCTCCACATTCTGAGGGCGAGGTGATCCTGGACGACTTTCGTCTGACTTCATTTGATCGTCCGATTGACCTTGTTGGTTGAACTCCAATTCCAGTTTCTGGGAGCTGATGGTGTCAGGCTCATCGCTGCCTTGCTGTAACTGAGAAGTTGGAACGGCACTCTCCTAGGACTTGAGCGTAAGCTGCATACCTGAGGATCACCTTTCATTGTGCATCAAAATTCGGGAATGAGTTGCCGTCCATCACTTACTATCTAGTCGAGTGTTTATCTTGAGCGGTTTGGCAGCACCCAACAAAACAAACTCGTTGGGAAGTCAAAGTGTTGATACGTTCCGTATTATAGGGACTCGTGTAGATAGAGCCTACACGGATAGGACTGATCCAATATTTCCAGCAACCTCACTTCGTCTTCATCTCGCCAATCCGTGCGTCGGTGTGTGGTTGGGTGTGTGTATGTGTATATGTGTGTGTTGATAGGAATACATGCGAAGGACGCGAACTAGAATTTTTCGCATGATCACGAGCAGTGCAAGCAGAACCAGCTACCAATACATATTTAATGTCTATAGGGGGCTGTCATATAGTAATAAGCCAAACTCTCCTTAACTTATCTATAGCCAAACTCTCTTGCTGAACAGAATCAAAGCTCCCAGAATATAACAACTTAATCCTCCATATTAACTTTTTAGAACCAAAGACAAGAGTTTTATCTTGTACTGAATGCTTTACACTTTTTGCATCATTTCTCCACTGAATGAGAATGCGACGATATTGGCTTATCTTTGCTAACTCTCTCAAGGAGTAGTGGCTGAAAAAGTAACTTTACAGAAAAGGATCAAGTACATAGCTTGCTCACCTATTTGATTCACACTTGAAGATACAGCCGATCTTCAACTTTCCTTCCAAAGCAAACAGATCTCCCATAACTCCACTTTCGTTCTTCCCCTAAACGTGCAGAATTCTATTGATATTCGATGCTCTACGAAGGGTTTGTTACAGTGCGAACTTGGTTCACCAATTGCCAAGCTAAGAACAGTTATGGGAAGGTCTTACTGCATTAATATTGCATGTTGTTGGTCTGTCCGTCCACAAAAAGTCATATGGAATGGGGTCTATGAAAGGCCTATGAAGCAATTTACGATGGGAAGGCAGTGAACAAGTACTAAATGCGTTCATCCACCTAGACAAGGCGGCACCAATGTACGACACTGGAGAGATGAAAGGCTTTATTGTCAGCGGGGATGAATCCAAGATTCTATCCCCGGAGCACGCGAGTGTCATTGTGGACCGTTGGCTACTATGTACATCAACACTGCCCTTTGAACCACTCAAAACAGGGGCTTGTGAGTACTGCGAAACGAGTTCCGTAGTTCGTGGCTTCAAAATTTTAAACATGATTATAAGGCTCCAGTCATGTTTTACTGTTATAAGTTGTTGTTCACAAAAAACCCAGTTATCCCGAGTATATAAGCATCAACCGTACTGTAGATAGCCACTAACAAATGAGTTGGTCGTCGTTCTGTTTACTACGTAACTGTGCTACCGACACCAGAAATATTTTTGAGCAAGCTGTCCCAAGGTTTACAATTTTCAAATTTCAGTTGATTCAGATCTTCTATTCATATTGTATGCAATCGATTTCAGGTATATAGCGACAATTCTATCGTACTATTTTCAATTTTTCATCAGCATTTCGGTGGTTTCCATATCCCATAGCTGTGTCAGAAAACGTGGTTCCGATGTTGGTGCGGTCCAAGAGCAGAAGGAAAGCCCAAATGTGGGTCTTGAGTAAAAATGCAAATTCTTAAAGGCCCAGTTCATGGTAACTCTGGAATGTCTCTTTTCAAACGAGTAATGGAAATGATAGTCTAGAATGGAGCAAAAGTGGCGAAGAAAACGCGAAAATAGGTGTATACAGGGAAATACAAAGCTTCAAAAAAGTGGTAGAACAAGCAATCAAACGAGAATGTGATCACAACAGCTGCAAGGGAAGAGTATTTGGACGAGCTTTCCTGATTTGTGTGCCACCGCTTACAGATGGTTACAGTTAATGCCTCCGCACGAAGTGCCCCGATGCGAATGGTGCAGCTTCTACAGCTTTTACAACGTCGTGAAAACTCGTCCATCTAAGGCGTGTACGCCGGCAAAGCCGGTTTGGAGACCCTTATTACGCCCTATTTTGGCCGTTTTTCGAGCCAACAGCGTCCCCTGCGCTATTCTTGAGGATCGCTCGTTCATTCTGAGGGAAAAATTTTAAAAGCCATTTTTCTAGCCAGCTGAGCCTTGAAGCAGATGCTCATTCTTTGATCCTCTGCTCGAAATTGCTTAAAGGCACTGTTAACAAAAAAGTAAGGGTACCCTTTTTTTGACGGTAATAGGTAGAACTACTTTAGAATAAAGCGATAACAACGAAAAAGCGCAAAAAAAAGAGCAACAAAAAGTATTACAAAGGGACAAAAAAAGTGCTAGAAAGTGGGGTTGGACATCTTTCACATTGGAAAACGGCGGTTAGGAAGTGTTCGAGCGAGAATGCACGAAGGCGACGCAGTGTCTGCAATACAGACAACACATCGAATTCAACGGAGTTTCTTAAATAAAAAAACATTTGCATGCAATAATCTACACAAAATATGTTAAAATTTTCAATAAATTTACGAGAATAGTTAAAGAATGCTACCGTAAAAAATTCATAATAAAAAAAAAACAATAGAAATACAAACATAAAATAGAAATAACAGTTGAATACTAGCTCCTGTACGAGGCGGTCGACCAGCTGATCATTCCTGGCTATTTGCCAATCATGTATCGATTTTTCACCAGCTTCGCTCCAGTGCGAACGTGGTGAATGACAACTTGAACACGTAGTCAGCCTAACGAGGGGCGGAGGCATCGCGTCCCCCACTGTTCCTGGCCTTATTGTGCCCTATCCAGCCGTTTTCCGACCTAATTCCTGCACAAATGTTATCAGAGGGGGCTCAGAATTCTAACCATGTGCATATCTTCGAAACCATTTAGTCGTTAACAGTGCCTTTAANAAAAAAAAAACAATAGAAATACAAACATAAAATAGAAATAACAGTTGAATACTAGCTCCTGTACGAGGCGGTCGACCAGCTGATCATTCCTGGCTATTTGCCAATCATGTATCGATTTTTCACCAGCTTCGCTCCAGTGCGAACGTGGTGAATGACAACTTGAACACGTAGTCAGCCTAACGAGGGGCGGAGGCATCGCGTCCCCCACTGTTCCTGGCCTTATTGTGCCCTATCCAGCCGTTTTCCGACCTAATTCCTGCACAAATGTTATCAGAGGGGGCTCAGAATTCTAACCATGTGCATATCTTCGAAACCATTTAGTCGTTAACAGTGCCTTTAAATAAAATCAGCTAGATATAGCGGAAATCATGCTCCAGTTATCTTATAATTACAGATAATTCCATCTACAAAAAGTAGCAGCTCCGTCGAGCAGCATGAAC